TGCTCCCTGACTGCCCCTTCAGAGACCCCCCACCCCTAACCAGCCCCCTGGGATCCCACCCTCTATCCAACCCACCCTGCTCCCTGTCCCCTGACTGCCCCTACCCCTTATCCAATCCCTGCCCCGGACCCCTTACCATGAGGCTCCTAGCAGCATGTTTTGCTCCGCGCAGAGCCAGACATGCTGCCCCATGCATGGGTGGCAGGTTTGTAGAAATTTTGCTCAGATCCCGCCCCCCCAACTCCGCCCCCACCTGCCTAAGGCTCTTGGAGGGAGTTTGGGTAGGGGGAGGCGGTCTGGGGTGCAGGTCCTGGGCTGGGGATTAGGGTGCAGGAGGGGTGCAGGGTGCAGGCTCTGGGATAGAGTTTGGGTGCTGGGTGCAGGCTCTGGGGTGGGGGCGTAGGAGGGGTGAGGGGTGCAGGCTCTGGGAGGGAGTTTGGGAGTAGGAGGGGAGGTGTGGGAAGGGGGAGGGGGTGCATGCTCTGGGAGGGAGTTTGGGGATAGAAGGGGGTGCAGGGGCGAGGGCTGTGGGGCTGAGGATGAGGGGTTCATGATGCAGGAGGGGACTCTGGGCTGCGGCAGAGGATTAGGGTGTGGGGGGGTGAGCGCTCTGGCTAGGGATGAAGGGTTCATGATGAAGGCGGGTGCTCAGGGCTGGGGCAGAGGATTAGGGTGCGGGGGGATGAGGGCTGGGGCAGAGGATTAGGGTGCGGGGGGGCTGAGGGCTGGGGCTGAGGGGTTTGGGGCGTTGGAGAGGCTCAGGGCTAGGGCGGAAGGGCAGGGTAAGGGCAGCCTGCCCTGCCATTAGGAGATGGGGGAAACTAGGACCCTGGGGCAGCAGACAGCAGTTGCTGCCGGGAGCTGCTCAGCATAGGAATGTGCTACTACACCAGCAGCACAAGCAGGCACAGGAGAAGCGCACGCCGCTTTCTTCCAGGCAGGGACGCAGCGGGGCGGGGGGAGACCCGCGGGGGCTGGGGCCCGCTCCAGGCAGGGCCAGGGGAGAGACCCAGCTCCAGATATTGGTGGAGCAGGGCCCCCAGCCCTGAATATTCCTGGAGCATGGCTCCAGGGGAGGAGGAAGGCGGGGGAGGGGCAGGCGGCTTGCTGCGCTGGGAGAGTGGAGCCATTTGCCCACCCCTGCATTAGGGTGTGCCTGGGCACACCCCGTGCACACGCCTATGAGCCTGATACTGATACTGTTTTTATTGGTTTGTCTGGTCAGGGGCTTACAGCAGTGTTGCAAACTATATCATCCTGGATTGCTAAGGCAAACTTGTACTAGTCAGAAGGCAAAAGAAGAGGGACAGGAAAGAAAAGAAATAAGGTAGTAAAAGAAAAAGACACATGGAGTGAGCGGTGTGTGACAAAGTATCATATCCCAGATGGTGTTTAGGATTTTGCCAGAGCCGGTGGAGGTGGCAATGTCACAGAGTCTCTTTCTTTGGCCCAGTCTGGTCAGGACTTTTCTTGGAATTAGGATGCTGAAGACTCAGTGATGTCATAGTGGGTCCCAGGAGACGGTGGGGAGACAGGCATGAGGGTGAAGCTCACTCCTTCCCCTTTTCTTGCTTTTTAGTTAGCCAGTGCCCACATCCATCCTCAAATTTTGACCAAAGTCTTTACAAACAAACAAAAACTCAAAAGGGAGCAATGGGTGGACTAGCCCATCCCCTCATTAATTTGTTAACCAATTAGGCCTAATTTCTGACACAGCAATTTTGATTAGGCACCAAAACCTTAAATAGTAGAAATGTGACAAGTCTGTCACATTTGGATCTAGATACAAACTTCCAAAAAGTTTGGAGGCATTTAGAGCTTGGGTTTTTTATTAGGACCCATCGCTACACTGTAGCATATTATATAATGATGCTTCTTCAGGACAAATTTAAAATCTGCCATGGAACTCAAGCAAGATCTAATTTTTTTAATGCAGATAATTAATTGCCCAGCCATTGAAAAATATTATGATTTTTCTCTATATATTTTATTACAGCATATATTTGTTATATATATACACTCACTAAATATATAAAATGCCATCTGTTCATAGAATCTCCCATTCATACTTTATTGCAGTGTTTCCCAAACTTGGGACGCCGCTTGGGTAGGTGTAGGGAGCCGCGATCAGCCGGACCTGCGGACGCATCAGGTAAACAAACCGGCCCGCCAGGGGCTTTCCCTACACAAGCGGCGTCCCAAGTTTGGGAAACACTGCTTTATTGGAATACATAGCAGGAATCCTTACTGAAGACATAAATAACATAATAAAGAACACAAGCACACTAAAATATCTTTTTCTTATTTACTTTTACTATTGGGGATTCCAGTAAGGGAATGTTAACAATTTGATAACTGGAGCAAAGTAAAGCTTGATTTTTTTTTCATTGTATCCATAATCCTCCATGGCCAAATCAGTTAAAAATTCAAGATACTCAGTTAAAACAGTAATAGTTGAAATCACTCTTTCCCCAATGTTGTGAATTTAACATAATTTAAATCTAAGGCTAAAAAAAAGTAATGGTGCCTGTGACAGATTTAATTTATATTAGATATTTTACATGGGTAACTTGCCTTGTCAGCAGGGAGAAGAGGCATAATGAAATTATTATTCCTATATTTCCAGTAACCCCAGCCCATTTATAGTTTAAATAATGTTACATTCCCAGCTCTTTTGAGCAATCTGCAGCCCACTCTGAGGAAAAGAAGAATAGCCCAGTGATTAAGGTGCTTGCTTTGGACCAAGGAGAGGTGGGTTTAATTTCCCTGTTTCTACCATAGGCTTCTCAGACCCTGGGCAAGTCACTTAGGGCATGGCTACACTTGCAGATGTAGAGTGCTGTGAGTTAAACCCGCCTTTGGAGAGCACAGTAGGGAAAGCGCTGCAGTCTGTCCACACTGACAGCTGCTTGCGCACTGGCGTGGCCACATTTGCGACACTTGCAGCAGCATTGGGAGTGGTGCATTATGGGCAGCTATTCCAGCATGCAAGTGACTGCAACGTGCTTTTCAAATGAGGGGTGTGGAGTGGAGTGTGACAGGGAGTGTGTTGTGTGTATGTGGGGGGAGAGAGAGTGGGTTTTGGGGGGGCTGAGAGCATGTCAGCATGCTGTCTTGTAAGTTCAGACAGCAGCAGACCCTCCCCGCCCCCCTGCCTCTCTCTCTCACACACAGCATTCCACACTAATCTGTCTTGGAGCACACTTATCTGTCTCGGAGCAGATAAGCAGCCGGCTGTCAGAAACGGAGCTTTCAAACGGCATATCCGCATTCCTACAGCGAGTTCAAAACAATGAGAAGAGTGGCCACTTGACTTAAGGGGATTATGGGATGTTTCCAGAGGTCAATTAGAGCGCAGTAATGCAACACCTCGTCCCACACTGGCGCTGCGGTGCTCCAGCGAGGGCGCATCAAACATTATTCCACTCGCCGAGGTAGAGTACCAGCAGCGCTGTAGCCACGGAGTCAGAGCACTCTATGTGCCTTGCCAGTGTGGACAGGGAGTAAGCTAGTGCACCTGGGGCTGCTTTAATGCACTGTAACTCACAAATGTAGCCAAGCCCTTAGTCTCTTTGTGCTTCTGTTCCCCATTGATAAAATGTACTTCCCTACAGCCCCTTCTGAGAAAGC